GCCGCCGCCGCCGCCGCCACCGCCGCCACCGCCGCCGCCGCCGCCGCCGCCTTCTGCCTCGCATTCTCGTTTCTATTCTCTCTCTCTCCCTCTCGATCGAGATCGACTATACCGTGTACCTTCGTCTAGTAAAAATGCCCGGACTATCGTCCGGCATCTAACGTAAACAGCCAATAGTCTAGTTTCAGTTGTGAAGGTATGTTAGTGCACTGGCAGAAAAAAATGGTTGCAGTTACCACAATCTCACTATAATTTATAGTCATTTTCGGAGCCAACCCCACATTTTTACAATTCTTTCAACTACGTAAGTTATGGTTGAACTAACAATGTATTATAATTCTCACAGTATTGGTCCATGCAACTTACGACATGGTTGTCATAAACCAAAACGAGCTCTTAATTTGGTTAGGTGTACTATAAATATTGCAATAACAACCGCAAGTAACATTTCGAATAACTATATGTAATAGTAATAATCGTATTTATATTGCAAGTAACATTCCCTGCTTTTTATTATATATCCATCACTTTGCACTCATAAAGAATAGTACAAGAAAGCATCTTTCAAGGAAAAGATATGCGGTTTTCTTCTTACGAGAAAGTCTTGTACCGCGCGCCCCTCTAGTGAGGATATTCCGAACCATTTCATTTTTGTTTGTCATGTGATTAGTAAGGCGGATGATAGAAATGTAGTTAAATTTACTATTATTGCGATTGTGTTTACTATATAAAAATAATTAACTAATTTACTATTCATTACCTGGATATTTTAACAGAATAATAGATGAAAGCTTATATTTTATAGTAAATTTTTTAAATAGTTGGCATCACTGTGTCTATACGGTTGCTATTACTAATAGTACAGCAAGAATTGCTATAAAACTGATATTCCTGACTATCGTTATAGTTTCAAATACTAGATATTTTTCTATCAGCGTGAATGTAAAGCCAACGATTTTGAAATAAGAGGAGGAAAACGTCCTTACATAAATCGTCATTGTAGACTTTACAATCTGACTTGAGTCCCGAATTGACAATCGTTCCGCGCGACTTAAAACGAATTCGTTTCGTTCGAATCGTCCCTCAACTGTACCCGATCTATTGCAAGCCGGGCCAGGTTACTCGACGTTAAAGATGTCCCGAATGAATGACTGTCAGACATTTAGTATTCAAGTCGCGTTTGTTCCGCCCTGCTGCGAGAGCAATAGGATGCAAACGGGAGAGCGCAGCGAGCGCAGCTAATAAGGGCAATCTTCCCGCATTTGTGTACTCCGCTCACCCCGTACCGCGTATCTGTTCATTTACGCGGGGATATCTGCTGGTCTAATCCTTATATCGGTATACAAGTCCATTCCGATCATCCCCTGCAGGGCGATTCCCCTTTCGTCCCATCGTCCCGACCCGCCAGCCGCGATCTCTCCATTCCGCGGCGTTGGCGCCGCTCGTAATGATAATTATCGGTCCCCGCCGAAGGGAAGCGTATCGACCGGCCCGCATTCGAGCGATCGACGCGATGATTTACGGTGCATTAGAGGTGTATTGGTATTATTCAGCAGCAGAGCACCGCTTTAGTGGATTTTACCGCGACGTCGCGACGTCAAAGTTGGCATGTACCGATTTGACGCCGGCGAAACCAATCTGGAGCACGCTGATTAGAGATGGGCTTAAATTGCGCGGGCATTACGGTCTTCTCCCACAATTTCGAGTCTTACTTTCTAGTTGAAAGCGCTCTGAGCGTCTAGAGAGCGATGACACGAGCTATACGGAAACGAAGACTGCTGAGACGTCAGATGTAGAACGGATAAATGGGAAAATGATAATTATCCCAGGAAGTGGGTTAATGTACTCGAGATGCAGAATAGCGCTTTGTTTTTAGACTTGCCGTTCGCCGTTTGTGGCAAACAGATAAACGGCGATTACTGATTCAGATTTTCCTCACTGCGTTAACTTGAGCATGTCAAAGGAATCGGAGGCAAACTCAGATTAAACAGGAGACTACGAAATCTTTGATCACGGTTTAATTCACTTTTTTGTGCTTGTCCAATTCTTAGAAACTGGAGAACAGGCTGGAAAGTAAGTTAAACCGTGATTAAAGTCACCGGCATTCCAAAGTGATCCGCGCGTTCGTTTCGGTCTCGTGTCATCCCTCCGGCGCGCGCCCGCGGACTACGGGCTAAAATTCACCTTTCATGAAAGCTGAAAGCTCGAACGTACTTTCCACCACGTGGTCTGGCATTCTCCCCTCACGGACCACCGGCACTTCGCCGGTTACTCCTTTCCTCGATTCACGCACCCTCACGCACAAATACACTTTTTCCCTCCTCTCCTCGCGATACAGAGGAACCACAAAATCTCGGCACGTGCGAAAAACCAAAGTGTCTGGGGTTCCCTTGGTGGTCCCAACAAAAACTCCCGAACGAACGCGACGTTCGGAGGTGTCTTCTCGCGAGTCTCTGTTCAGGTCGCGGACGGACTCGACGTGGGACGACACACGTCCTGTTCCGAGCGCAGTCGACAGCGAACTGGCTCACCTCGTGTACTCTCGACTCCGTTTCACGCTCTTACGTGTGCGAGGGAGGCTCGACTGGTCCGCGCTCCGTTCCACCACTTCCACTACCACCACCAACTTGAACGCCGCCACTGGTAACACCGTCGCGCTACCACCACTACTATACCACCACCACTCGGCCGCAACTACCACCACCGTCGCACCATCGCTATCGGCAACACTAGTAGTACTACTGAACTACTACCGCCTATATTACCACCACTATCAGCAATACCGGCGACCTGACGTCGCCGCGGATACAGCCTCCCTCTCACCCACTAGCTTTGTCGACTCGAATACGCGGCATACGAGAACACCGGCGATGGTGGGGGATCCATCGCGCCGGAAAAGATCCTGTGACAGAGAACGGCACGGCGTTGGCGTTTGGCGTTGGCGTTGGCGCCAGCGATAGTAGTGGTATGTGTCACTCCAGTCTGACGCTCGTAGCTTCTGACAATAATAGTAAGAGTATTGGTCTGCCCGCTAGTTAGATGTTAGTTCCGACGTGGCGACGTAGCAATGGTGAAACGGCTGATAGGACCACGTCCGTTGCGCCTCAATCCCCTAAAGACGTTAAGACGCAATGGTTTTAACGATTCTAAATGATCCCTATTGATTCCTGATCAATGATTCTCGACGCGACGTTGGCGCCGCTGATCGTGGCGATGTCGCCGTCCGCTGGTATTAGTAACCACCGAGACGTTGGGCGACGCAGCGTGTTGGCGTCGGTGGTGGCGATGGCCACAGGGAAGAGGAGGAGGAGAAGGAGAAGTGCACGCATTGTTGGCGGCGGGAGTTAGCGGGGGCCGACAGAGCGGCGCCAGCAGGCCGAGAGTTTAGCTCACAGTTTCTCTGTACCACTCGCTCGTTCTTTCTCCCACCCTCTCTCTCTCTCTCTTTCTTTCTCCATGTCCCCTCGCTCGTCCTCCTTCCCCAGTCTCCACTCCGCTGACCCTACGGCTCTCCTCTCTACATTCATCTCTCTTTCGTCGTGCCTTATAGCCGTTCTGCCCACCCACCGGTGGTAGCGCTCTCGAACGTGCCGAGTGTGTGCGTTTGCATGTGTGCGTGCGGAGATGCCGCGGGCGGCCAGGAATCGCGAGTTTATGGGACTCACTGACCACCGCAGGAGTCTTTCCCCGAGTCTCTCTCGAGACGGAGGCCGTTTCGCCGGCGTCGATCTCCGGGAGACTCGACCTCCGGACTTTTGCTTCTTTTACCGCCCCCTCGTTTCTGACCAGCCTCGTCCTTTCCGCTCCCTTTCGTAGTGTCCTCCCCCCTCCACCCCCCCCGCCCCGGCATCCGTGGCTCTTGCGTTTGCCCGGTGCAACGCTCCTGTCCTGAAAGAATGTTCGCGCTACGCCAAAATCATGGGAAACACCCGCGGGCGTACCGTGCACGGGCGGGTATTAGGGGTACTTCTGCTCGGGAGCGGTGGCAGAGCGACCATGCCCGCTATAATGTTCGCCGGGATCATTATCGTTCCGCCGAATCGTAAATACTTGCAGGTTCGTGCGAACGCAACGACAATCCTCGTCGCGGTGAAGTAATTGCAAGGCGAAACCCGGGTTTGCTGTGCTTTTTTAAAGCAGACTATCGATGAGCAGTTATCGTTGGATCTGTATTCAGAAATGTAGTTAGCGAACATTTGTCACTTGTCGAGTGTTTTAAAGTTTATATAAGATTGATCAATACGAAAGTTAACAAAGACGACAATGAAAGGGACGCGAAGAGAAATTCTTTTATTTTTTATTGCACGCTCGTGTATCAATCGAGAGAATTTTACGTTAATAATTTTCTCAAAGTGTTAAATTATTTGGTCGGTTTTCCGAATTACCGTACATTTATTTCTCGATATTCTCATTTTTCGTTGTTAGTCGAATTTATTACTCCTGTCCCTGTTAATGTTACAAACATTTTGCTCACACATGCAACTGAGTCGCACATGCCGTCAACACGTGTATGTACACATTTTTCTTCCATCGTTTTTAAACATGAAACTTTATTGCGTCACGAATGCAATATGCGACCATGTTCGGCACATATTCGTCAGGATCCTACGGGTTAAGTAACGAATAATGCCGGTCTGTCCATTGTCTCATCGATTTTACGATTCTGAAACATATTTCGGCACATCTCCGTACGATTGTATGCAGCCACGTGTTCGTATAGTCGCAACTGCATGGTCTCCATAATCTACAAATATGATACATGTGGCCAATTCGCTTGGAGTAACATATTTCGCCTTATAAAAATAGACTTATTGTGTACCGGCTTCATTTTTTCTCGACAAACGAAAGGAAACCTCCCCCTCTCTCTCTCGCTCTTCCGCATTCACTCGAGTTCTGGTTATACTCGTATTTCTGTATGAGGTCCTGTAAGTTTTTCTCTTCCTTCTTCTATTTCCTCTTTTCACTTTATTTTATTCCTTTTCCTTTTCCCTCCATACTGTAACATTATTTTACGTGCGTTTAGTTCAATCCTACTGTTACAACCGTAATAACGTCTATACGCTTTAGGGGACCTGTCTTACAGTTCAATAAATAAAGATTCTGATTCTCTCTAAAAAAATTATTCGTAGTCTTTTAATTTCATTCTCTTAGAACAATTCTGTGCTTTGAATGTGGAGACATTAGGGGCCATAAGGCCGCATTTTCGTAGTTGCAGTGAGTCCTGTGTTTCATCTCGACAGTAGTCGGAGTTGTCAAACCAGAAATTGGCCGCGCATCAACAAGCGTAACCGATCAAGGCCGTCCAGGACCTTTATTTAATCGCGTCATTATTTTCCCACGGCGCTTGTAACTGGCTTTTTTATTCGATTTGACGAATAATTGAAAGTCGCGAATACTTCTCCAAATATAATTAATGAGATAAACAATTCGTTCTCTCATTAATGAAATTTAATCGTTTAATAAGGTATACAATATGGGGATGAGAAATATTACAGTGAAATTGTAGAGTAAAATATGAAACATAAAAGATAATATATAATGATTGTGTGCGTTAGACATAACTTCTCAATAGCTATCTAACAGCTCATAAAAAAATACAATTTCTCGTGATTTCATAAAAATATTAAGGTTCTAATCATGTTCAGTTATATTATTAATTATCAATAATCTCCATAATCCTCAACCATCTTGGTACACTTCCTCTCGATAGGACATGGCTATTTTTTAATTATTATTTGTTCATATTTTTATTCATATTTGCATTCAGATATGATTAAAGGGAAACAAACAAAGCCTGTCACTTGCCTATTTATATCGACTATCTCTTTATCATTATGAGTGCGAGAATACAATGCCCAGGTTCACAGAAAAGCTGAAGGAATAAAAATAATCACAATTCAGAAGAATCTGACAGATTATCGTATCTTCAATTTGTAAATAATCATCGACAGACGTTCTTTCTTGAAGTGGGCGAGTTGACGCATTCTGCCGCGAATCCCTTGCCTTTACGGCATTGTTCTTGCGACGTCTTTGCTTCGCACGGAACTTTCGACGGCTCCAAAAAATTACCGCACTTTTAATGTCCGAATTCTATTGGAATTTTGACATTGTCTTATTTTTATATCAAACGAGGTTGTGAGAGATATAAATGCGTCAAGAATATTTTTTATCTCGGTAACAGAAATCCTTTCCGAGGGTGTGGTTACCCCCTTGCATCCGGCATTGTTCTGGGCAGATCAATGAGAGAAAAGTTGTGTGTGCGGTAGTGTAGCTTTGATACACACATACGCCGCTGGATTGCTGCCCAGAATAATGGCGGAATATCACGTGATCGGGACCGCAAAGGTCAAAGGGACCGGCAGAGAGTGAACCCACTAGTTGTACTACACTGAAAAAAATTTCTGGTTGAATATGGACGAATCAGATAATTCCTTTAGG